TAAGTATAATATATATATTTCTTTTATAAGTATAATATATATATTTCTTTTATATATAAAGCCATATAAAATTATATAAAATATGTATAATATAATATACAATTATATATAGTGTATGCAAATACATAAAATACATAAATATAAATAACTGAATATATATACACGTATATACGTTTCTATATGTGTGTATATGTATAATATAGATATTTCTTTTATATGTATAATATAGATATTTCTTTTATATGTATAATATAGATATTTCTTTTATATGTATAATATAGATATTTCTTTTATAAGTATAATATAGATATTTCTTTTATATGTATAATATAGATATTTCTTTTATAAGTATAATATATATATTTCTTTTATAAGTATAATATATATATTTCTTTTATATATAAACCCATATAAATTTATATAAAATATGTATAATATAATATACAATGATATATAGCATATACAAATACATAAAATATATAAATATAAATAACTGAATATATATACACATATACGCTTCTATAAGTGTATATATATATATATAAGTGTATATATATATAAGTGTATATATATATATACACTATAAGTGTATGTATATATATAATATATATATTCTATATAGAATGTATATAAAATATACAAAAAAAGAATATATATATCATATACATTCTATATAGAATATATATATACATATATATATATAAATAAAATTTCTATACAAATTAACCAAAACAAGGCAGGACCCGTGGACTCCTGGGCTGGGTCGCTCACCTTCCGCCCCGCCGGCCCTGGCTCCACGCGGCCGCTCTCCCGGGGCTCCGCTCGCCTGTAGCCGCTGCACCGTCCGAGCCCGCAGGGCCCTGCCCCTGCCCGGCCCCGCTCCCGGCCCGTGCCCGCCCTGCCCGGTCCCGCGGGCCCTGTGCCGGCCCCGCTCCCAGCGCGGCCCGGGCCGCTCCCTCCGCCCGCTCCATCGCGCTCGAACCGCCCGCGCCCCGCACCGCTTCCGGGGCACCGCGCATGCGCACACGGGCGGCGCCGCCCGCGCCTCAGCGCGCCCCTCGAGCGCCACCGCAGAACACAAACAGTCACATCGGTCAAACTGGCAAACCAAAGCTTTATTCTTCCGTTGTGGTGGGTTTTTTTATTTTGTTTTTCTTTTTCTGTTTAAAGTCTTTGCTACAGTACCTAGGACTGCACCCCTATACATAATTAACAATCATTCCTAAAAGATCTGTATTTGGCACCAGTTTGTGTTTACCTCAAACACTTGTGGGGAGGATTAATTTCAAATCGAATTTGGTTGTTTGTTTGTTTGTTTTTTTCCAACAGGAGCTGCCATCATGAAGCCAATTAGCTGAGTTATTGGAGAAGCTTAAAAAACAAAACAAAACAAAACAAAACAAAACAAAAGTCCTTATCTTAACCAACACATTACAGAGAGCTCCAAAACAGAGGTCAAACATTAAAAGGCTGATATAGGCTCAAGTGGTTTATAAAACCTATAAAAAAAGACTACACCAGCACATATGCCCTTTCAGTCCACGCAGTTTAGAAATTAACACAGGGAGCAACTCGCTAGCTGGAAATCTTGTCATGGGAGAACCACATATATACCAACAGGACTACCCAAAATCAAATGTTAAAATGCTCCAATTCCCAATCCACATAAAAGGAGAGAGCTTCATAGGAAGATTAAGTCAATCCATGGCATCATAATTGGTTGGGCAGTTCAGAACTTCCCCCAGCAACCACTTTGTCACTCATACACACAGGCTCACATGTACACGGCTCAATCCCATTCAAATTCCTCATGGAATAAAACGATCCCAGGCTCTATTGAGTCTTTCCCTATCATGCAAGAAATAAGTCTGGCTGTGCTTTAATCACCATCATGTATAACTTCAGCCACAGAGTACCAGGCGGATTAAGTAGAAATGCACAGTTTTTAGCTCGCTGTCTCTGCACAAGTGTCGGAGAGGCTCAGTTCCTGGAGAATTCCGGGTGGGCACACGCAGTCTCCCTTCATGCAGACTCACTGGCCTCCACTGGCTTGATCATGTGGTCAGGTTTGTTGCCTGCAGCGTAGTGATCCCACATCTGGAGGTAGAGCCGCTCCAGGTCCGTCGTGTACTGCTTCGTGTTGAACAGAGGGCTCGATATTCTCTGCTTCCAGACTTTGCCACGGATTTTTTTCAGGCTGCAAAGAGTGAAAGCGGTCATGGGAGGTTCCAAACACTACATAATACTGTTTTAATTCTGCAATCTACTGTTTTCAGCTAACCCAGAACTGCCTGTACAACTGTTCCAAAAACAGCTGCTCCCGCACTGTTTTATCCCCTCATCACTTCTGATGCAGACCAAGCACAACCACTTTAACTCACAAGAGCTGGGATATTAACTTGTTGCATTACCTCTACTGCAGTAATATTTTACAGTGTGATTTTAACTTGCAGTAAGTGACAAACTGACGAATCTTCAAATTTAAAAAGAATTAAAGGTGAACTATATTGCACTTTCTATGATTTTGCACATTTCTTCAGAGCAGGCAGCATTGTAACTCAACTGGGAGTGCTGTTAAGTTACTGTAAAAGCTGAGTTAAGTGCAAGACAAGACATCTCTAGCAGAGGATTGCCCAGCTACTTCAAACAGTAAAATATCTGCAGCATTAAAACTACTGATGTCTCAGCACTGTGCCCAAATATAGTCCAAGCTTGCTTACTATTCCAGGTCAGTTCCCAGTTTCACAGCAATGTCCTCATACTCCTGTCTACTTTTTGCAATGAGCTCAAGACAACCCAGGCAAGTGAGCTGTGAGGCAGCAACTCTTGAGGCAAGAGTCTCTCCTGAAAAGAAGAAAACAAAGAGCAAATCAAAACCAACAAAACCAATCAGGAATAAGTTTATTAAGTAACATATTCCACACTATGAGTTACTTTCCTTCTGCCTCCACAAGAGGCAAAGTTTGCTGGGCTTGCTGTTATTAAAAAATTACCAATATTCCAACCCACATGTTCAGTGTAGGTTTCCTGCCTGTTACCTGGCATAGTGACCATTGGAGTCCCAGCCCAGAGCACGTCCATCCCAGTTGTGTGCCCATTACAGAGCGGGGTGTCCAGGCAAACATCAGCTAACTGCCCTCTCCTCACATGCTCTTCTTTGGGGGCAACAGGCGAAAAGATGATTCTGTTTTGGGCCAGACCCAAGTTTTGTGCGTACTGCTGAATATTGGGCTCTCCTACAGCTGGGAAACGTAGCAGCCACAGCACACTGTTTGGGACTCTTTTTAGGATCTGTAATAAAAATAAGAAGCAAATACAGGAAGCTCAGAGAGGAACATTTACTTTTCTAAACAAGAAATTACCACATACCAAACTGCAGTGGAAGGCATAGTCATTTAGTACATTAATATGAGGTATAAGAGCAGGAATAAAACAGATCTTAATTTTGAATGGAATCACTAGGATTGCACTCCTAATCCCACTGGAAGAGACAGCAACTCTCAGCAACAGTTCATAGGGCAGTACTTGGAGTAAGTCTTGAAATTTATTATCCCATTTATTCACAGGCCAATGCTATGGAATATAAAAAAAATATTACCTCCAAGTAACTCAGCAATACACTGTAAGCTGGAATCTGATAGAGATGCTCTCTGCTCAGATCTATCAATATACCAACTGTCAAGGCCAGTTATGACTCAAATGTAGAGACTAAGAAAGACCAAAATTATTTCACAACGGAGAACCAGCATACTCAAGCTGTCCAAGACATAAGTTCTCACTGGCTAGATGCACAGATATCATTTGAAATAAATCTAAAAAATTCTATATTCTAGTAAGCCCTGCAACAAAAGCACTGTAAGGATTCAAAATGGCTCAGGGTTAATGTTTTCCACGGAAAAGTTACAGTTCTAACACGCATGGAGTTTCTGCTAACCTGAACAGAACTGCTGCTCCAGAAGCGTATTAACCCCAGATACTCACATTAGCCCACATCTGTAAGGTGGAAGGATCAATCTTATAGAGCTGATTGAAGTTGCAGTACACAACAGCATCCTCTGGTAAGCCGTACTGAGAGCGGGTGGTAACAATTATTGTCCGTGGAACTTCTTCACCAGTGGCTGCTTTGTTGTTGATCTAAAGGAATGAAAAACAGCTACTGAAACGCTGAAATTGCAGAAAACAAGAGCATGCCCTGTGGAATTGTCCTGAGACACTGCAACATTTGTTAGCATCATAAGTTACTGTAAGCATATCTTTGGTTTTATTATACAAAACAAAATTGTCTACTTACCCACAGCAAGAATTTAACTGGTTTGTGTACACGCTTGTGGATGCCACAATGTTGCAACCACCAAGGCAAAAAACACTGGGCATTTTCATGCCCTTCCTATATCTCCCCGAAATTCCAAGTAACTGGAATAATTGGAAAGAAGAATCATATAAAGAGGCATTACAAATGGAATCTACCCTCGTTAAGGTAACTTAATTTCTGTGAGATCAAGAATGAAATTAATACTTAAAGACAGAATTAAAAAGCAAAGGTGTTTCTCTGTTTGTTTGGATTTTTGTGGTTTATTTTTTGGGTAGGTTCTGTTTGGGGGTTTTTTTGTGGGTGCTCCTTTTTTTTTAAAGATAAAAGACAACAGGCACAGAACAGACAGTCGAGACTAAAGATACAGACTCATATGCAACTGCTGGACTGTAAGGAACTATCTGACAAGAAAATAATAGAAATGATAAAAATTAGGAAAGTTAACAACGAACTTTCAAGAAAGCACAGATCTTACAGCGTTCACAAGGAATAGGAATATGCTAATAAAAACCAGTAGAGGATGAAGATGGGATAATCAAAATACCATGCAATAGTCTTGAGGATTAGTAAAATGGAAGTATGATTTTAAATGTTTCATAATGACATGCAGTGATGGCATCAAAACTAGATAAAAATATTGGTAGAGACAGACAACACAGCTACTTAGAGCCTTTTTCTCTAAATACTCGTTTTTCATAAGTATGTATTTAAAATTTAGAGTAGTGGCAGTGCAGGCAGCCACTGATGACACACCTGATGTGAATGACAATGACTCACTGTCACTGACTCCATTAGAAGATGCACATGATAACAGTTCAATAGAAGTTGGTAAAAACTATGCCAAAAAGCAGCTGATACCAGCACAAAGAAGTGTTATATCAGTGTGACTGAAAAGACAGAAGTTCTGTTTTAAGAGTGCACAGACAGAGCTTAGAGTGTTTCGTTGTGGTGGTGGAGTGTTAAGAATTCTCTATGAGGATAAGAACTTCACAAAAAAATGCCAATAAGCTTACTGACCAAACTAAGACATAACATATTATCAACTCAAAGGAAAGTCTCAGTTGTGAAGAAAAGAACTCAAAAAGAAACCAAGGCAGGAGATTATGGATAGAGCAGCAGTAATAAAAGGGCTCATTAAAGGATGTCAAATGATGTCTCTCCTGAGAGACTGTAAACTGAGTAACGCACACAAGATAATGAGTTATGCCAGTGTCAGAATATGGTATTTCTAAAAAGGAAGAACTGTTCTGCAATGGAAGAAGTGTTAAACAATACCAGTAGCAGTCACAAAAATCCCATTAACTGTTAAGCACTGAGAGGTGGTGATGTAGTGCACGGTTCTGAAAAATGTAAGGAGATGAATAAATGTTGTTGAGATACAGTGGAATAACTCTGACTCTATTCTATTATTCAGCAACTTTTTTTCTAAAGGAAAAACACAACTGAAACTAAGTAGCAGGTCACAAATCTCTGGAGGCTGCAGGGCAAAAAGCAAATCTTGCGTTCAAACAATGAAGTGTTGTCTTTATGCAACAAGAATTAATTTCTTTGGACTTTAGATACCTCTAGATACAATTCCTGTATCTCTGGGGGGAAAGATCATCTTCCAGTACATCTGTGGCTTATAATGAGTTTTCTTCAATATGAGAACTAAACAAA